CATCCCTTCAGATACACATTCCCTCAACAAATGTAAACTTTTGTTTGGGCTCAAAAGAGGTCTTTTCGATATTTCAATTTCTGAATTGCTGCGAGGTTACAGCTGTAAATACGTATGTAATCTTCAAATCAAATTTGGAATCCATCCAAAGCCTGGTTGACCAGCGAGGCTGGCTGGGCAAGAGCTTGGCCTAGCTAGGCAGGGAGAGCGAAACCAAATGTGAATGTCATTGGTTGTTTCCGCTATATATCTTCTGTCTTGGTTTGTAATGGCCGTTTTGAACTTGCCCGTTTTCTATCCTCCTCTCCCATTATTCCCTGTTGAACAAAGTTTTTGCTCGCTTGCTTCCATTTTTCACTGTCAATATTTTTCGTTTCATACATTATCTCCTCAACTACCCTCCGCATTTCAACAAAGGCCTTGTGTTTATTTTTGATTTGTCACTGTAGCACTGACTGCTCGTCCGAAATGTCTTCCACCAATGTACCAACTACTATATCCGCCGAGGAAGCCCAACTTGCTCTAGAAGGAGATCAGAGCGTAGAAGTTCAACCAGACCAGAGAGCCGCTGAAAAATCCAAGAATCGGACCATTGAGATATGTGATTTTATCCACAAGCTAGGTTCAAATCCAAAAAAATTCTTGCAGAACTTGCTGGACTCTACTAAACCCGAGATCGTCAAGAGACGTCAGTTTTGGGGCACATCAACAGGCTGGTCTTCAACCGAGAAGATCTTGCTCGGCATCAAGAGACGAATCCTTGACGGGTCTGATCCGACTGATGTGGAAAGATGGAACAACTTCGTTTTGAGAGAGGTCCATGATTTTGCCTGAAGCAATTAGAAATCTATTGTCTTTGTTTGGAAATCTATACTGACATGTTCTTTATCATTACAGGCCAAGGTCATTGTCAATAAAGAAGAGCTACCTCGAGGGGCCGGCCCCCAAGGCGCCTTCTACAGTGCCAATAAGATTGATGAGTCATTCTTGGAGCCTCAAGCAGAACAAGACCGTGCGGACCTAATTCGCAGGAGTATGCCTTTTCTCCACGCATTGGTCTACTCCAAGATTGAAGAGTCGAACATCGCTCGTGAAAAAAATCGAGTGAGTAGTGCATCAAAAGATACTGGCAAAGGAGGCGAGGTGGAACCTACGGAGAAGACAGGCGACTCGCTGGATTTTGCTGAGCAGCTTGAGGGGATCTCCCATTCAGTGGCCATGGAGAACTCGGACTTAGACTCCCAAAGACTCAAACAAGTAAGCAATTGGGCCATGATCACCGGGCGTCTGGTTCACTTTTCTGACCCACCATGGTAGCTTCCGATTGCAGTTCTATCTATGATCGCTTTTGCTTGCAATCGCCGCTTCAACGGTCTACAATTGCAGAACTCCCTCTCGTTTGTAGCATGTGGTGTCTCGGACCGTGTGAATGACTACTTGCATTTCCTTGGATTGGCCTCCTCACGACAAACTGCCCTTTCAGCTATGGACACTCTGGGGCTTGCTGCTCAAAAGTCCATCAAGCTCTTGAGCTCAAAGTTGTACACCGTCAGGCCGTTTTTAGTCCTTGACAACATCGACATCCAAGCTCGCATTCACGACCCTCGCATTGAAAAAACCACCAAGATGTTCCATGGGTCATACGGGTACCTTCATGTACTACCTGACCATCTAGTGAAGGATATTACCCCAGCCGACACTAGTGTAGAAAGCCTTCGCAAATATATCCGCCAAAGTCAAGACCAGCCCTTTGATATCTATTCAATGCTTCCAAACGAAAAAGAAAGCCATCATTGGACTTTGGTTTTGAAGGCTCAGCTTTCGGTTGCCCTACTGGATTATGTAATCAAGAGAGACTCGCCGGCTTACGTGTGCTCCAAACAAGCTTTGGACACATCCCCTCCACCAATAGACCCTATCGATATGTACACACCTAACATCGCAATGCTGAAGATGATGAGTGCGTCCGACAATTCGGCTTCGGGAGTGGCTGAAATGCTTGACCAGTGTAATAAACAGACAGGCCATGATTCGGTCTCGTTCAGTGAAGGTCTACAGGTGATTGAGGGCGACATGGGCACATGTCTCAATTTTGAGTCTCTCATCCGCCAACGATTTCCTGCCGGACACCAAGAAGAGGCTCTGTCGAATGTATTGAACCTCCCTGGTCTATCTCACACTTTATGGAACATCGCGAGTAAGGTTTTAAGTCACCATTGGGGTGATGCTAATGATTCTTGTGATACTGGGATACATCGCACTGCCGCTGCCCTTGGCATGAAGACCGATAAGCAACCATCACAGCAGGATTTTAATTCTTTAATCCAACTGGTTCATAAAGGTCACACTGCGACCATGGTTTTCTTGTTGAAGTATGTAATTCCAATCTTGATTAGATGATTCTACCCGACAGCTGACTTGGCCTTTTGAACTTCAGACAAACAATAGAGGCTTGGCCAACCGAGGTGAGACTTGACGCACCGGGTGTAGCTCAATCCATTGTTGACCAATGCTATCAATTTTATTTCACTCGAGAGTCTTTACACAAGGCTTTCCAATCAGGGGACTGGACCATGTACAACATGCGTCTACGTCTTCGTGATTTTGCTACAATCGTCGAGGCTGACCAAGCTATGAGGACAGGAGACATTGGGCGAGTCTTGATGATGTGGAAGCGGTGGGCTGTAATGGCTCAGGGAGTCACTGGACTCTCACATTACGCGATCCATCTCCCACGGTTCATCTTGATACTCGAGAAATATTTACCAAACCCTCTAGCGAAAGCCATAAAGCACTCCCTCCTCATTCCCACAGGTGGCCGAGCTGGACACTGGGTAGCCAAAGATTTTTGGCTTGAGATCCAAAACTATTGGCTCAAGTATTTTTTCAACAACTCGGTAATTACCTTTTCTTTTCCTTTATACCTAAACATATCAAATCACTGACATGTTCATCTCACAGGGGCAAGGCACTAAGATAGATCGGCTGATGGACAGGTTCTCAATCATCATACCACTGGCGAGTCATGCTTCTCGTTTCTTGAAAGTCCATTCCCAGTTGCTCACAGTCTGTATACCTTTTTGGAACAGCTACGTAAACAAATTCAACTTATGAAAGAGCGATCTGGCTTGAAAGACATCTATCAGTCACATACACATAGGATTACCCCGGCGTCACTGCAATCCTTCTTACACATGGCTCAAGTCCACATGTGCGATGTGGAGATGTCTAACAACAGCAGGAACACAGACAACAACGATGAGGTGGATGACATTGAAGCACTTGGTATTGTGAAACTCAAGAAGATCGTGAAGGAAGAAGCGAGAAAGGGAATTCCTTCACGATTCATTTGGGGATCTATGAAGGAGCGAAGGCAAGATACTGATGAATTGATCGGTTCGGATGATGATTAGGTAGACAATCGCCAAACTTTACACTTACCTCAAGTGACAGTTCCTCTTGACGTGCTTTCTGTTTGTTTTCTTTCGCTATCTGTTTCTCGATTTCTCTTTGCAATCGAATACGTTTGCGTTCCGCAATTGCAGACTTTTTGATATCACTCGCGATTTGTTTGAGTCGCAATTGGGCTTGGTGCTCTTCTTCAATAAGATTGGTGTCCAGGATTTCTTGATCGAGACGGATCTGTTCGTCTTCGAGCTCTTGTTGATATCTGTCATAGACTGGCGATCGAAGCCACAAGTGTATGCATTCGCGCACCAAAGCAAATTGTCCAGGAAGGACCTCTCCACCTAAAATCTCACGTAAAAAGATGCCATTATTGACAGCCTCATAGTTTTTCACTACTTGCCATGCATCTTCGCGATCAAACAGTTTGCCTGGCATCATATGAAAACCAGTGGGGTACTGTTGGAGAAAAAGAGCCTCAAATTTTCCCATTAGCATGACCGCCAGGTCAATCATTGGAATACTGAGTCGTATGGGGTCGTTTGACTTGCACGCTAGTGGAATTTCGCCAGAGAATTTGCGCTTCGTCATCTTGACGGGCATGGAGAATTGACTAACATCCTCCGGTTCTTTCGGTGAAGATTTCATCAGACTATCGAAGTCTTTGGCCGTTGTAAATGGCAGCAGGCGTATAATATGAGCACATCCTTGAGGATCACACACAGAACATTGACATGCTCGCATCTTCAGCGTTCGTTCGCGGGCTTTCTCGGCGAGATATCCAGGATCCAACAGGTCAACAGGTATGTACCCTCTGCTATCATTTTGGATCAGTGAGGCAAGAGATGTCAGAACTTGTGCTACATAACTGGCATACATTCATTCACTCACAGATTGTCCACTGAATACGCAACTCGAAGACAACAAGGTGTCACTCGAAGAGCATGCATGCGATCTTCGTCATCCATGTTCCCGCCGGCTTTAAATTCATCCAGTGAGTTCTTTCCAGGGTTCATCGCGGGCTGAACAAGGTGAATGACCAGTCCGTCCTGCCCATCGCGCCCGGCACGGCCGGCCATCTGATTCGATTCCGCTGGGTCCATTGCACCCAAAATTATCACCATTTTCACCCGAGTCCAGTTCTGACCCAATCCAAGGGCCGACGTACATGAAATGATTGGATATTTGGACTCGCCGTAATCTTGTACACGTGTAAGCTGATCCTGTTCACCAGTTACAGAATGATACCGTCTGATAAGAGGACTATTGCCATTACACGCATCCTCAGGTGTGCCACGTGATTTACAGACCACATCAATCACAACACCAGTGGCATTTCGAGTGCCTGAATATATAAGGGTGGGGATCATCTCTTCATTTGATACCACCGTCGAAGGGCCAAACAGCGACGCAAGATCCTCGGCCGAATTCAAAGGGCGTGTGAGATACATCCGAATGAAGCGATTCTCGGGTCGTGTCAATTCGCCTTGGATGAGGGTCATATTCTTGGGAGTGATCTTCAAACTTGACTGTATAGCCCGGATTGCGTAAGGTCGACATGTCGCAGACATCAGGAGGATAGGTACTCCATCCGTGGCCATGAGCTGTTGTCCGAGATCTCCGTAAGATACCCTAAATTGACCAACGTCCTCGGGTATGACATGTTTCGACATCCGTCTTAATTTTCCGGTGGCCTGAAGTCCCCACAGATAGATGCAATGGGCTTCGTCGATAACTTTCAAGATGAGATGCCGCTGAAACTCTTTACTGTGGTATAGCGATTGAAAGGCCTCGCTATTCAGGAATATCTCAGGGCTCTGTTGGCACGTAGGTGAGAGTGAGTACTTGAAGAACAACGTATGTAGCAGCACGTCACTCACCAAGTAGATGAAAGAATAGGCATGTACCTTCAATTTTGTCAAAACTTCTGGGGTAAACGTGGTCTTTGTGAGATTGATGGCTGAAATCCCAATCCGACTCTTCTCCAAGACCTGATAGTATTACTATTTTGAATCAGCATGACATTAATACTATCTTGACCATTATATTTGTACTTACCTGATTATTTCCGAGGGCATCCAAAGGGTTCAAAACCAACACCACGGGTTTCCTAGCTTTTGCAAACATATGGAAAAACAATTCTGGCACTCGGCTCTTTCCGTAGCCCGTGCCAGCTAAAAGAAACGTGTCGTCCCCGTTTATGAGACTGACTGTGGTGTTGATCTGGATTGTCTTCGGTTCTTGCTCAGCATACTTCTCTTTAAAGCGCATAGATACCGCTTGTTGCTGCTCGGCCGTGGTGGATTGCAACAGCTTTTTGGTCAGAGCGGGAGTTTCGATCTTCAACGTTGGGATTGATAAACCTCCGTCAAGGACATCAGAGAGCTTGACATCGTTTTCCGCTTTGCTTCGAGTGCGTATGTTTGACTGCGACATATTTTCCACAGTAACCGGAGATGGTCGATAACGTATGAAAAAAAGTGGAAATTTTTAACGTGAGGACCAAGAGGATTGAAGCTTCTTTTCAAATCAATTCTTTGAAATGCTTCGGTATTATTAAAGACAAGCATGAGAGCCCACAGCACCGCATTGCAAAGTTTGACAGACCCTTTTTCCACTTGGACATTCCAAACATCAGTGTTACAGAACACGTACTATCAGCCGCAGTCGCGACTTTGAAATATCGAAAAGACCTCTTTTTGAGCCCAAACAAAAGTTTTACATTTGTTGAGGGAATGTGTATCTGAAGGGATGAAAAGATGCGCAAGAAGCAGGCGCATAACATACGTGATAGACAAGAAATTTCGTAATTTGGCACAAAAAATTCATTTGTGGACCCTTTTCTACCACCAAAAGGGAATTTCCCTTGTCACCAAGAAAACTGACATTGCATGTAAGTCCCCTCGTGCCTCGGGGGTTTGTTGTGTTTTTTTTTGGCGTCTTTACCCCGGGGCACTGAGGGGACCTTAGTTAAGTTAGACATTGAGGATACCCAAGTTATCAAATGGATTGAGATGTCCTCACTTGAGTCTGAAAAGCACATTCTTCGCGGGGAGGCCAAAGAATGTGAAATTCGACGACATTTTTGGCCAACTTGAACTCCCCCCCAACACATCTATATAAACAAAAATGAGTGATCCAAGCTAGAAAAGGATACGTCAAGCTAATCGACTGCCGATGCAACCAACGATGCAAAGCTTCGATGAAGTAATAATTCTCGACTTCATACATCCCTTTTAAAGTTTCCAGTCATTTCTCCTCAATCAAATTTGTTTCTGATTCCCAATCAGGACATCTTATCATCGCGAGTAAACTCAATCAAATTATTGAAGACTTTTTATAATGTGATCATTTTTCTAAATTTTTCGATCAAATAAGAAAAATATAATAATCCATAAATCATTTTGGATCACGGTTTTTGAAATTTAATTTATAACTGTGCAAGTACATTCAAACTAAGATCAATGAGTCACATTTCCCCCTAGCCCTCATTTCGAAAGGTTTGACTAAATAAGAATAATTACAATTGTTTATAGCTCAACTTTCTGAGCAGCACTATCATATGACAACCATATTAAACTACACTGTGTATAAGACATAATAGTGATGATTGCAACAGATCAAATGGAGTCATCAACTCTCTATATATGACACTTCTTCTCGGGACATTCTAAATTCCATAGCCAACATGGTCAATTTCATTCCATGGAAATAGGCTAATGATAAGTTAAAGTCGTCAAACTTACGTTGGTTCAGATGATACTTGAAGCAACGATACTCTCTTACAACCATATCGTTGTCGGTATGCAAGCAAACTATCATTATCAAGATTGAGGAATCGATGCCAAATTTAAAAAGTCAGTGTTTTGGGAATGTCAATTTGGTATGAAAACTTCAAAATGTTGCATTGAACTTTTGTGATTCATGGTATCTCCATTCATCTGATATCGATACACAATCGAGATATCTTTATCTGAGGTAAAACGTGCAAATTGACTCACCGATAGCTCTGTAATTGACGTTGTCTGGTGGGGGACGAGGTTCGGTCCGCATTCCGGCGTCGCAATCTAATGAACCCTTCGTTTTCGTTGGTCTTCCGCTCGGGTCAGCGCAGTCAGAAGCAGCTGTGTGATGATCCATCGAGACAAAAAAAGTAAGCCATTTTCCCATTGATTGTAGACAGGAGGATTCTTTCGCACATGGGTGTTTATTATCATTCCTTCCACACCATTTGCAGTAATGTCGGATATCGTTGCCATGTTTGTCTTGTATTTCACACACTTTGAGCATGAGTTTTTTTGGAAGGTGTACAAATTGTTGTGTCAGTTCATACTATCCTCCGAAATGAGATGAATTGTTGATTGACAATGAAGGAAAATGTAGACTGCAGGGAAATGTTTGACTGACAATACTCATGATGGGTATCTTTCGATGGTTTACTCCAACCCAAGTTACAGTCTATAGCATTAGCGTTTGCAAAAATATGTGACCCTAGATCGCCCGCGAGCAGGAAAACCAGTAAAAGATGAAAGATGGGGGTCCATCGCTTCCGAGACATACTTTGGCTCAAGGTAACAGCGGGGGAAATGTAACTATTTGAGAGGAGTACACAAATCTAGTGAGAGAAAGCAGAGGTTGATGGATGAACATCAAATCCGTTTGAGCAAAAGCAGCCTTATGTAGTGAACGCACCTCAACCACCGATATTCCTGCTCCGCCTGAAGCCTTAAAGATGCATAGGAAAACCATTCAGCCCCGAACTTTAGCCACAGGTTTGTGACTTGTCCTGGTGTGTCGTCATCTCATTTGGAAGATATCAATTGACTTTGAGAGATCGTCGCCAGGTCAAATTGGTCAAATCAATCGTTTGAAAATCACTACACCAAAATCAAAGACACAGAAGAGGTGACACGAAGCTGCACGAAGAACCTCGTAGACGGTAGACAATTGGTCTCACCTCGTGGTCCCCAAAGCAAGGGGAAAGACAGGGAAAGACTCGGAGGGCAGGCTTAAGTAAGCTTACGTGAGGATGTTGCTCCGATTTTGCAGACTCACGATGGTGTAGTTGTATACACCACCTTGCACTGCCGTATTCTTTTCAGCCATGATCCCAAGTCGGCCTCCACTGGCCCATTTTTGACCTCTGTCCTTTGCTGGAACTTCAGGCAGGTCTGAATTGCGTGTAGCTTGCTAAGAATTGAGTACTCCCATTGAATTTGACCTTTGCATCTCGTTCAACTTGATTGTTTTGAAACAAGTTTTCTTCATTTAATTCAACTTCACCAATGATTCGAACCTGATTTGTTTTTCTTGAGAGTTTGAAAACATCTTTTGTATATCTTCTACCTCTTTTGATGATTTTGAAGGATAAATCATAATCTGCTTCAACAGCCAATCATTGTTCACTCTGAGAAATCATACTGATCAATATTTACAGAACTCAACAAATATACACTCATCACACTTTCCCTTTTTTGATTGGGTCAATATCTGGACAACCAGTTTGTCAGAGTGCTCCTTCTAGATTGGATTCTTCAGATTTTTGGATGGTGTTGATGAGTTACGCATTCATAGTTTATAACATGTTTTGAAATACAACAGGTTAAAATGGTGAATTGGAGTCTTTCCAGTAAAGGAACAACAAAGAGAGATAAAAAAATGAAGAAAAGAAATCCAAAAATTATGAAGAGAAGTCATCCCAATTTGATTTCAGTTGACGTAAAGCTTCAAGGAAAGTCCAACTTTTAACTTTACAGATCACCTTTAGAATCTCAATTAACTTCTCATCAATCAAATTCGGTTCTGATTCCCAATCAGTTTCAATCATTATCTTATCCTTAGGAGTCAATGCAATCAATTCATTCAATCTCTTTAATTCAAGTTCAGTTTTATATAATCTGATCGAAAAAGAAAAATATAAAAATGTAGAATAATTTTTGATTAAAGTTTTCAAACTTCCAGTTGATATGTAAGGTGAATGCCAATTGATTTTGATCTGATTTGAAACCGGATGTCTTCTTTTTAATCGATTAAAGACTTGAATCATTTCTTCTATGGCCTTTACACCATGTAAACTGATTGGTTTTCCTAATGAGATGGCCAGTTCGAGTTGTGCTTCTAAAACTTTGATTTGATGTTCAATCTTGACTTTAGATTTAATCAAATTCATTTCATCTTTTTGATTTTGATCAGTCCCTTGATTCTGATTGATCCCCTGATTCTGATTTGTAGCTTGACTTTGAGTTGCATTTGGAATATGAACTTTGAACGATTTATCTAATCCAACTTCGCCTAACATACTATCAGGTATAGAAACAAGTCTATCTTTCAATTCGTTCAAAAACTGATTAAAATCGATGGGTTTCGGTAAATGAGACTCTATCATCGATTGATCTTGACCATTCTCTAGCATCAAAGGAAATCCATCTGATTCCAGTTGATCAGCTGTAAAACAAACTTGATGTGAAAACCATGGATGTAATCCAAATGCCGGTTTAACTTTTGATGAACAACTTTTATAAATCTCTTCAATGATCACTTGAGATTCTAGATTCGATGACATCACACATATCTATATTCGTTTACAATCTTGTCAATTCTTTGAAGAAACGATTCCAATAAGTTTGATAAAATGATCAACTTACTTTGTTAACTTGCAATCGATTGATTTCATCAATCACTTTTTTCGGATTGGTACCACCATACCCTAAATTCGGATGACAATGAACATCGACTAATCCCTTGAGGATATCTGTTTCGGTGTATTCCCAAGTCTTGAAATCCATTCTGTAAAGTTTACCCTGTAACAGGACCGAAACGTAGGTAAGATAAGGTACTGATAAGTGACTTAAATGAAAAAATCTCACGGACAAGGATGATTTGGAAAGTAGTGGCTTTTAGATGATTGACCACGATAGTTGATAAAAAATCAGAGTAAAAAACGCAATAAGATAAAAAGCATGAGATTTCCAAAAGGGAGTAATTCCGGCTGGATGGACGGAGTCGAGAAACAATAAGAAAGCTTCTCACTTGAAGTTGCTTAGTCTAGAAATCAGGGTCCGTCCTCTTTGTCTATGGTGAGAACCTGATGAGTTGGGGCATCATTCTTGCCAATCTTACTTAGAACTCCTTGCTTGAGGTGCTCTGTCTGTTCTTGTTTGCAAGCATGTGTCTTCTTACACTGTGAAAATAATGTGTTTCTCCCTAGCGAAAAATGATTGCATTTTTGGAAAAATGATTGACAAAAAATTGTACCTGGAATTGTGGGCCCAGTTGTGGCCCAAAACACTTGGAAAAAGATCTGGAGAGAGATACAATGCTCTTTGTCCTGCAACATTTTTTCGGGGTTGCTTAAAGCCTCATACTCAGCATGAACCCAGCAAGCAATTTTTAATGTTTTTACCAGCTTTTTCCCTCTCAAAGAAGTCCAAAAAATCCGGAAAAATCAGGAGAGATCAGAAATCCCCTTTGTGATGTGTGGTGTTTTTTTTGGATTTTTTGATGCCTTTGTCTTGGATACATGCAGGTTAGAACATTAAAAGTCTGCCAAATAAAGTTCAAATGCATTTTGGTTCACAGGGGCATCAAAATTCCACACACTGTCTCCAAACCATGTACAGATGATCTTGCATCCTTTGGTGTGCTACAAAAATTTTTTTTGGTGGTTTTGGAGCCTTGTACATATGGCAGTAGCGTTTAAGTACCTAAAATTACACACATGTGATGACTTGCATACTGAGCCAGAAAAATTCTGAAAAAAACGTTCAACAAAGGGGATATTGTCCTCCACTTGTAATTTTTTTTTCAGATTTTTCTGGTCACTATTGAAGGGTGAATTTAGTGCTTTGGTGCTGCATATTTATGTGTTGTTCCACAAAAATTTTGAACATCACCAAACTGAGTGCTAGAATTTTTTTACAATGACCAAAATCTCTCAACTGGAAGAAAATAGCACATTTTGCCTTACCAGATTTTTTCAGATTTTTTGGGCCAATATCAAGCAAGGCATTTTAAATGCTAGAATCAATCATTTCTCGCCATGGAAAAACACATTATTTTTGCAGTGTTAGTCTGTTCCTCACTCACGAGTCGCGAGGGTAGTCTATCATGAACTGCTCTCGCAAGAGCCTGAGCTATGTCTGCAGCAAACTACGCATTCGCTTCCCCTGAGTCCATCTGATATGGCTCAGCGCGCTGTCCTCGAATAGCTTGTTTGAGCTCATCTCATGGCTCAGCACACATCTTACAGTTGTATCCTGCATACTACTTATACGGGGTCAGTCCGCTGTGTCGCATCCCTGCTACAACTTGATGGGTTTTCTTTTGAGCAATATTAATAGTGAAGCTTGAATATGATCATATCTCTCAAAATTTCTTTCACTTTCACTTCTTCTTTCACAATCCATGATCTTGAGTAAGAATCTGTTAAAGTGATGGGATTGAACTTTCTCATAAACCTTTATTTTCTGGCGTAGTTTGAAATCAAATGTCACAGAAGCACACATGGGTTTCAACTTGAAAACCTATAAAGCCATGATACGTCTTGTGGTCATACGTCATCTCCCATACTTAGCAAGCTCTGCTGAGTTCTGTCTAAGCTTAACTAAACCCCTCCTCTGAGTCTTACACGGCCACAGCCGCTCTGGAAGAGAGGCTTAGGGCTAATACCCCAGCTCTGGCCTAAGACCAGCAGGATTTTTAAAGCAATCTTGCTTGAAATCCCTTTCTGGGGGCTCTGAACATCATGAAACCCAGCAATAAATTTGGCAGAGCTTCTTCAAGCTCTTTTGCTTCTCCTTGTACTATTTTTAGCCTGTCATCACTCCTGGATTATGAAAAACTTGTTTCCAATACCAAGTGATTGTTTAGACCCCTCAAGGCAAGATTTCAAGCAGAATTGCTTGAACATCCTGCTGGCCTCAGGCCAAAGTTGGGGTATAAGCCCTAAGCCCCTCCTTGAGAGCGGACATGGCCATGCTGCAAGAGGAGCTTAGTTGATCTTAAGTTCTGTCTATGATATATGTGTCCTTCTGATGAACACTCAAAATGAAGTGATAATTGATATGATTGTCAATTCTAGAAAGAGTTGTCAAAGCTTCTTCCTGCTTCAGTCTCATTCATGAATCAAGTGAATATAGCTATTACATGAACTCAACAATTCTACTTATTTATGGAATGAATCCTGATCCTTTTTTCTGTTTTTCTTTACTTTCAAATGATGAATAAATCACAAATTCATGCAGGAGCCTGAGGTAGAAGAACTTTGTGAGGAAAATGGTATCATTCTTCAAGTTTCAATTTATTTTCACAAACAAATGAAATTTTGAAGAGGACCAAACAGAACCTGAAAACATTAGATTCAATTTTCACCTGCACTTCAACCTACCACGAGAAACTTCTTATGGAGTAAAAATTTTATGGAAGGTGATACACAGCCCACCCCCAAGACAATAGCTTGATACACCCAAGAGATTGGCTAAGCAGAAGATGCAATCTTCTTGATTTTCCAGCATAAAAATCGTTGATTGTCTCTCACAATACAAACAGCTGATATGCTATACTAAAGACATTGTGAGGATAGCTAGTGAGATTCGGACTCAATTCAAACCTAGCTCAGCAAGTCTCATTCTCCCTAGCTCTGGAGGTGATATGACTAGACAATGATTAGTAGAACAACTGCTTAGACTTCTTCAAGAAGACCTATCATCGCCAGATAACCAGTACATTGAACTGAACAGAGTACGAGACAGAGGGCTGATAGGGTGATGATGTTAACAGATTGATTGAACTTTGAAGGCGACTCCGACGATGCTCAGATGCTCAACAGGATGTACATCCTAAGTACCACAGCCAACATAGTTGAGTTGAATCCACAAAACGAGACAGTTAGTGATGAATGAAGATCATAGGCTTGGTAGCCAACAAATCCCAACGCGACAGCTTACTTTGGTACTGAGACGCGTGCTTGCAATCGTATTGAATCACTTTGTTGTCCTGGTTCGTGTGTTTGCAAGTTGCTAGTTTCAAAATCAGGAGATAAGTCCAGTTCAAGAAGTCAGAATTCACTATGGCTTGTATATGTGTATGGAAGCTTCGAAAAGTGTCATTGAATTATCGGAATTCACAACATCACAAGATATACGGGAACGATGTGCGCAGTCAACTTTGCATGAGGTAGAGATGTAAAGTGACTCAACTGCTCGTTTTACCAGATTTCACGACGGTAGCCATTCCGGCATCGCAATCTTCCCTCTCCGAATGGCCGGAGGGGCCGGTACAATCAATGGCAGCTGTGCGATGATCCATCGAACCAAAACGTAAGCTGCCCGTTTCCATCTGCGCATTGATTGAAAACAAAAAAACTCTTTCGCACAGGGTGGTAGACCATCTTGCCTATTGCATCGACTACAATGCAAGACGTCCCCGTTGGCTAACACACACACTGTTAGTATAAATTTGGAAGGAAGGTGTTCAAAGTGTGTCAGTTCACACTATTGCTTAAAATCACTGTAGAAATGGGATTGGATTGAAGAAGCTTGGAAGCATAGTCTGAGAGTAAATTTTTGACCGACCATTCTTCGCGCCGCCCGATGATGGAGTCCAAGAGCGCTGGCATTCGACATATGCAAGTGGGCCGTGTGATGAGTCTTTTGCATCTACAAATATATGCGACCCGAGATTTGCCGCGAGCAGGCAAGCCAGCAAAAGGATGGGACTCATTTGAATCCAAGACATACTTCACAGAACAAAGTGTTAATCTGTTCCACAGTGGTAAAGTTTTTTGAATATCAGAGCTTTGACTCAAATGAACAGCAGAGAGAAGCGACTTCTTACCAAGATTACGTAAATTTAGAAAGACAAGAGAGGGTGCCGGATGGACCCTGTCCGTGAAGCAAAGGTAGCTTTATATAGTACGCAAACATATTTTGGCGAAGAATGTTCATGAAGCCCCAAATATAAATACAAAAACTGTTCCGTGTGCGGCTTTATAGCCATAGTTTCTTGTTCAATTGAGAGGCCAGATTACCATTGAGGTCATCACGAGGTCAAATCAATTGTTAGGCTCAACTTGATAGCGACGGTGGGGGTGGCACAAAAAATCTTGTCAACCTGTGATCCGGGCGTTATCCGGTCAATCCTGCATCGCCGACCCCGTACCGACGGGTAAATTCGTAATCCGACCCCATTGGACAATAACCCACCGGACTTCACCAACATCCGACCCGGATATCCGGCGCATTGGCTGAAAAAAAATCATTCCATCAACTTTTGAGCAAATCTCAATTAACCAACCAATTCAAATCTCACATCATCCTACTTCAATCAAAAAAATCTAAATTGCTCTATCACCTATCACCTCTCAATCAACCTTAAATTCAAGTTGAACAATTAGGGGATACAAAGTAGAATCTGGATTAGGGGCTCTCAAACCTGACCCGGTTTTCAAAAACCCAGTTGACCCAGTTGACTTTTTGGCAGTAACTTTGTATATAAATTTGACATTTATTGACAGCTCCCAGCCAAAAACTCAACTGGGTCAACTGGGTTTTTTGAAACCGGGTCAGGTTTGAGAGCCCCTATTGACCACCAATGCAAATTATGAAGCAGCCATCCAAGCCAATCAGTCCAATATCATGGAGAGTGAGACAACCATCACGGGTCAACCAAGCCACATCTGGACATATTTTAAAAGATTAATCCACAAAAATTACAACAACTGTCATTTAATCATGGCTAATGGACAACCTTGTGGAAATGAATTAGCCTGTGATAAGAAGTCAAGTAC